CATGTGAATTTTCATGATAATGATAATGATGATGATGAAGATGATGAGTAATTCATTTTGTTTTCTTTTTCGTCGAGGTTTTGACATTCTATACTTTGCTATACTTGTCTTTATGTTCTTTTTGATAAAATGGATATTTTTTTTTAAAGATTTATTTATATAAATAAAACTAATCATCAAAATAATGTTCTTCATGCATTTTACCATGATTGCAAGTAGAATAATAATAGTATTAATGACTAATTTTATATCATATTGAAATTTGTCGTAATACATACCAAGTCGATGATCAATATCAGATATTGTTCTGAAATATGTTATAAACGTGTTAAATACGCATTCATAACAACAATTCTAATAAGATTTCGAACTAGTAAGTGAACTATGTGAGTATGCACATGAAACCATTAACTGATTAAAAGTTTTAAAGCTCATATTTGAATCGTAAGTGAAACTAGAGAAACCCTAAAAGTCTTTCTGCATATGAATCTTTTTGATTGAGGTACAAGCAGGGACGAAATTATCTCTTGTCTATGAAGAAAGTTGAAAAAAATGAATTATTTTTTCTGTTCTTTGCACTCATCTGGCTATATAGCATACATGAAATAACGCAAAGGATAAAGTTCTGTTGCAATTACTCAAAATAAATAAACGAAGATAATCAATGACGCCATCAAAACATTAAGATAAAGAAAACTGATTCTTATATAAATAATAGAGCTTATTCATCTCTTTCACCACTGTCTATTCGATCAAAAACCTCATACAATTACCATTTTATTATCATATAATACACAATATGGAAGCAATAGTTGATGATGGCAAACGGCACAGACGAATGGTACAAGATTATTCGCTCATCTGGTTAGATGAGTGTATGAAAGAAACGAACAATGAGTATCAAAATATTTTGACACAGTTAAAAACCATTACTAACAATGTCAACATCTTTAAGCAGCGAGATGAATGCATCGACTATCTTACAGATGTTCAAGAAGACATCAAGTCTTTTCTCGTTGTGAAGGATACTATATCTGAACAAATAATGCCCTTCATTAATGATATTTTTCAGCTGCATGGTATTTATATCTTCAATGATACTAAAATCCTACTTGAAAAATTGATAAAAAATTGGCCAAAAATCAAGAGCACTCATACCAATATCGATAATCTATGTCAAACATTGCAAATTGATATCAAGCAGTTCAATCAAGACTCAATAGCCATAAGTTTTATCACAGAAAAGGAAATGGCTTCAACTGATAACTTAAATCAGTTAGAATCAACTTTTATGTATACCCAGCTCTTCAAGGAAATTCTTCTTGATATGGAACATGATGAACAGGCTATCAAACACTTTATTACTTACTGTCGAGATCATGACTGTGTATCACCAAAATATATTGACCGTTTTGAGAAAGAATATAGTTCTCAGTTAGCTATTTGGTGGTATACTTTCCCATCCAATACCTATCGTATGCTCAATTCTGCTCTTCGCTCTATGGATGGCGGTACTATTATTAATATGGGTTTTTTCATTCATAATCTTCACACACAAATCGAACAACTACACCAACAACAGGTTCATAGTTACCACGGCAAACCATTCATAGTTTACCGAGGACAAGGTTTGTCCAAAGCAAGTTTTGAAAAACTAAAAAAAACGCAAGCTGGTTTAATATCTTTTAATAACTTTTTATCCACTAGTACCGAGCAAGATATAGCTCTTGGACTTGCTTATATTGCATCACAAAACGTAAACATGGTTGGCATTCTCTTCATGATGTCCATTGATCCTTCTTCAAAATCAGCACCATTTGCCTCCATCAAAGAGAAGAGTTATTTTAAGGAAGAAGAAGAAATTCTCTTCTCAATGCACACAGTCTTTCGCGTGAGTGCAATTAAGCAGATAGACAATAATAATCAACTTTATCAAGTTGAATTACAATTAACGTCGGATGATGATCAACAATTGCGAGTACTTACTGATCGAATACGAGAAGAAGCTGGCGGTAGTACTGGATGGGAAAGATTAGGTAATTTATTACTTAAAATTGGTCAGTTTAATAACGCTGAAGAACTTTATAACGTATTACTCGAACGGACATCTAGTGACGGTGAAAAAGCGATTTATTACAACCAGCTTGGCGTTGTCCATTCCAATCAAGGTGATTATGAAAAGGCTATTTGGTATTATGAAAAAGCACTTGAAATTCTACGAAAAATTCTTCCTTCAAATCATCCTGATTTGATTACTTCATACATCAACATCGGTTTGGTGTATGACAACATGGGAGAGTACTCGAAAGCACTTTCATACTACGAACAAGGACTTGAAATATGGAAAAGAACTCTTCCTTCAAATCATCCTTATTTGGCTGCTTCATACAGTAGCATCGGTAGTGTGTACTACTACATGGGAGAATACTCGAAAGCACTTTCATTTTACAAAAAA